TACTTTAAACTGAGTGACTACACACAGAATTGTTTGAAAGCAGCCATAAGGTATAATTTATTTATTGGATACTATAAAAAATTAATAGTAGTTACATGTAGAGTTAAGTAACAAGAACTTTGTGTGTGTGCAGTGGTTGACTGGCATCGGGATTAACCCATTTGCCACAGACATTATTATTTTTATTACAATTGTTACCACTGATTGTTAATTGTTATTGGTTTATATGTTAATTTTAGATTCTTTAATAAATGTTATCAATGTATAACAACAAGAACTTTAAAAACAAAACAAACCTTTATATCTAGTGAACTTAATTTAGTACAGTACTCAACTTTCTTAGGCTAACATTAAAGATATCTATTTGGACCTCGCTAAAAATCTCATTGGTAACAGCCATTATCTTGTTAAAAGGAAATATATAGGTAATACTTGGATCTAAACTAAATAATTTTTCGTTACTTGGGATTCTTAGATTAATCTTTGCCACATTAAAATTTATATAGTCAATCAAATCACAATCTTTGTACTTAACATTATTTAAAATAGAGTACAAAATATATCACAGCCTGTTGCTTTCTTCTTTGTAAAAGAGATTTAATCTTAAAACTATCGAGCATAGTTTTATATGAGATCTTATAAAGGTACAAGTATTTTTTATGGCATAAAAAGGTAGGGTAAAAATATTTTTTGTACTTTTTCAATATGATCAATATGTGTGGCTTTCAAGGGCATCCATATTTGTGATGGGGCCTTAGTAAGGCATTATATAATCTGATTTTGGTGGTAATTCTAATTTTTTTTTGTATTTCTGATTTAAAAACCCAAAGCTTTTATTGTTTTTTTAGTTATGTGTAAGAAATGGTTATTAAACTTCAAATTAGACTGAAAGACAACTCCTAAATCCTTTATCTCATATTCACGATTTAATGTGACATCACAGGTCTTGTGTCTAATGTAAAAAATTAAGAGGCTACAGATCCTTACAACTTAAAATATGCATGTTTGTAAGTGTTAAATGGACGGATAAAAAGTGTTGTTTTTATTTACAACTATAATAAGAAACATATTATTTTTGATACCTGATAATCAATAAACAATAATTTTTTGAAGTAGTAACAGATTTATTAATACACAACTATTATTTTGTTACAAATATTTATATTATAATATTTATAATTAACATAATAGTTGATATAAGTCCTTTAAAAATAATATATTTTGATTTAATTGTTGAATTTATACATGAGCAATTTTCCTTGTAGCGTTGTTTACATTTTGCAGAGAACTATTGTATTCTGCTTTTAGCTGATAAATCATGTACATGTAAACGGGTTGAATGTAGACAATGTTAATGTTTTTGCTACTACTGCTGGCTAGGAATGCTGGGCTGGGACACCAACACAAAAAAAAACGAAGCACAAAGCACTAGATCAGTTTCTATCACTTATACACTTACAATTTACAACCATTCAAGGAACTAGTATGTTGGAAATACTTTACGAAAACATATTAAACATAAATCGGTTGAATGCAATGTATTTTCTTCTTATAAGACATCTTTTTAGCTTGATTACTTCTAGTACTCTATTTATTCCAATGTCCTCAAATACAACGAGCAATAATACGTAACAATAAGGATAAAACACACACTAAAGTGTATTTGGGGTATTTTTGATCTAAATTCACTATCAAAATAACAAATTTTCCGTTTTTAAGCTGTGAATGTATTACAAAAACTACTTCGATAAAATGTAAACAAAAGTTTGTATTTGTGTACGAAATATGGATTGCCTGCGCATGGTAGCGAGTTTTTAACCGGATTTATGACAAGTGATAGGTTATATCCCGAAAACGTCAGCGCAGTAAAAGCTGCGTGTCTTTTTCCCGCCCAGGGAGTGTCATGGGCCTGTAAAAACCTCAACATTCCCTGTTTTGTGGAAAACTGCAGTTTGAATACCAATTCATAAGTCAGGTAGTGTACGCAATATTGAAAATTACAGATCAATCTCCATTATGTGTGCAAATAATTTACTACAAATTATATAACTTCTTTCAAAACAGTATCACTGATAAACAGCATGGATTTATGAAAGGCAGATCAATCAATTCAAATTTATTTCTTTTCACCCAAAATGCAAATGAGGCATTAGAAAAGAAGTTACATATGGACACAATTTTTACTGATTTTGATCGGGTTGATCACGATATTTTACTAAGAAAAATTAGTCAGTTTGGGATATCAAATAATATATTGATGCTTTTTAAGAGTTATTTAATAGATATATATTTTTATGTGAGGCATAATGGTAATATCTCGGAAAAATTTCATGCTCTTTCCGGCTTTCCACAAGGATCAAACTTGGGGCCATTACTGTTTTTACTAGTTGTCAATGATCTTCCAAGAGTAAATAAATTTTCTAAATGTGTACTTTTTTGCCGATGATCTTAAAGTATACGAGTATAAAGAGATCAAAACAGTCGGCGATTGCGTCGCGCTGCAAAAAGATATAAATGCAATATATGAATGGAGCGAGAGAAACAAATTAAATTTTAATATCAAAAAAACTACATAACTATTTTTTGGCAAAACAACCAATAATATTTGACTATCAAATGAATTGCGAATCACTAAAGAGATGTCTGGAGGTTAAGGACTTAGGAGTAACTTATAGTAGCAAGTTATCGTTTTCTCCACATATCAAAAAGACTGTTAAAGCCGCTAATCGTGCGAGTTTTTTAATAAGACAATCACAACCATTCTCAAATACAAATGTATTAAGGTCCCTTTATTTTACATTAGTTCCGTCCAAAATGAATTTTGCTTCGATTATATGGCAGGGACAATATCAAATTGCATTGCAAGAATTGGAAAAATTACAGAATAAATTCTTAGGATATCTATATTTTAAAAAGTATTACATTAGACCGAACTACAATACTGTTAGAACAGTACAATTAAGGAGTGAATTTAAAATTACTTCATTAGAATCTAAGCGAAAAATTACGTGCATTTTATTCATTTATAAAATAATTAATGACTAAATGAACTGTCCGGATCTTCTTGCACTAGTACCATTTTCTGTTCCTCCTCGTCCAATGAGGAATACAAATATGTTTACCATTCCCTTTACCTCAACAACATCCAGAACTTCTCTCCTAATGATGTTTCGTTTAGCAAACAATATTAATATGTTGCTTGATGTAAATTGGTACACAAAATATAAGTTCATAAATCAAGTTATTGTTCATATTTGCAATTTGGCTATTTAAACAATCCATTGATATTTACACACCTCTCTTCCTCTGATGCTCTGATGTCTATAATGTTTTATTAGGATTATTCTTATTTATAATTTAAATATTTATTATTATTTTTTATATAATTTACTCTTGTAACATTAATTGTAATTTAATTAGCCTTGTAATTAGGTCAATAGGCCTGTTTGGCCATACTAAAAGTTATGTCGCTCGTACTCTACGGAACTGTCAATGTCAAACATTTTGTCATAATAACAAAGAGGTTAGAAAGGGTAGAGGTAACATAGAAAGCATTTGCTGTTGCGCGAATTTTGCCAAAACCGAAAAATTGGGTGGAAGGAGTAGGGAGTGGTTCTGGGCCGGACTTAAATATTTGTATTATAGTATACCCAATTTTGGTAACTGTTACTTACTATGAGGGCAATATAGTCCGTCGGGAAGCCCGGTCTAGGAAGCAGAAAAAAAAGCAAGGTATAACCAAATAGGACCTTCACCATTTGAAAAAGCATATTTTTTTAAATTGAAAATGGAAATTGACGACTCTCTCCATTGGTTAAGACTAAAGTTATAGGCAAAAAACAAAAAAAAAGGTGTTGTTTTTTTGTTAACTTTGAACACTTGTAACTTTTTTACTAAAGATTTTTTTTTATTTTATTCCTTATTCATGTTCCTTTCTTTTAATGTATTTGTTCTTCTAGTAATATTAAAAAAAAAAACAAATTGACAATATTTGTTTAACCCACCTTGTCATAACTTTTTTATGCAAAGAGCTATTTATTTTTTTGTTTTTTTTTTTTTTCAAAAACTGCTCAAATTAATGAGCTGCATTTTGTTGCGATTAATAAGCGGTCTATTTTTAATAATAAAACCGCTAGCGGCTTTTAAACGTGGGGGCGCCTAGCTCGGCGGCCGAATTGGATTGCGGTTTTTTCCATTGCGATTGACGCACCAAAAATAAACTTTCAAATTGAAAATAGTTTTTTAAAAAATTTAATAATTTTTTCTATGTTAAAAAATCTACAACTACGATCTGTACTACAAGAGTAATGAATGTATAATGATGTTAAAAATAAAAAAAAACTAGATAAAATGCATAAAGTCCTAATCAGTGGTTTACTAGAAACTGGTAACTCGGATAACGTCGACATCTGCAGGATCTGTTACTAGGGCTGATATAATTCACCTCTTGTTGCACACACTCCCCCAATAATGTTTTAAATACAATTTTTCGTTATTTATTTGCACTATGTAGTGAAGATAAATTGTAATTCGTTCATTTCCTTCCAGATAATTCTAGTACTTTTAAATAAAAATTTTAACAAACTATCGAAAAATGTATTATCATCAGGATCTTCAGATTCATTTGTATTTTTCTGTAGGTGTCGATTAATATTAATGCAGTTAATTTTGCATTTGCAATTTGAGTTACAAGATATCCCCTTTTTTACACTGATATTTTTGCGTGTTGCAGTTCTTGACATTGCAAAATAAGGAGATAATTTAAAGAATAAAATTGTCCTCATTTAAAATCCATCCATATCGAAAGGGATCTTTTTTGGTTACCTCACCAATATGACTATTTGTCCTTATAAATGTTTGATAATATGACCTAAAATTACACATAATAATAAAATATACGTACACTATGAATAAGTAGTACATGTAGTTTGAAACTATCTTCTGTAGGGGACAATTCCTGATTTTGTTTTCTGCCCCAAGGAAAAAAATACCATTGTTCAATGCACAAGGTGCCAAAATTACGGACATACGAAAACGTATTGTTCAAACCATATGCATGTGTAAAATGTGGAGGCCAACATAGAACTGCAACATGTAAGAAAACATTAGATACTCCAGATAAATGCGTGCTTTTTGAAGAAAATCATCCAGCAAGTTATAAAGGATGTGATGTATACAATAATCTCCAAAAAGCTAGGAGAAGACCTATAAATCAAATACCCAGTCAAAATAATACACAAAGGAACATTAATATCAATGACATAAATCAATTCCCGCAAATAAACACTCATCAACCTCAAATCAATCCACAGCCAATTCCACAAACTTCATACGCCCAAAGAGTCACCCGCAACCAATCTTCCGATATATCTGAACAGTGAACGAACTTCCTAAATAAATTCAAAGCTATGTTCAGCCAGCTTATCAATTATAAGAGCAAGGTTCTAAACATGCTCAGTACCGTGATAAATAAAGTTGCGTAATGTCTAACTCGTTGCGAATACTACTCTGGAATGCCAACGGGGTATCCAACCATAAACTCAAACTAGAAAATTTTCTCCAAATCCACAAAATAGACATCGCACTAATATCAGAGACTCACTTCACTACCAGAACTATGTTCAAAATACCTTATTATAAAACATATCACACATCACACCCAGATGATACAGCAAATCGTGGTTTAGCTGTTATAATTCGTAGAACAATATCTCATCATGAACTTAATCACATCCAGACAGAGAAATTCCAAGCTACCAATATTAAAGTCGACTTTAATCTATGGCCAATAACAGTATCTGCCATTTATTGTCCTCCCAGGTATTCAATATACAGCGAGTAATATGGAGAATTTTTCAAACAATTAGGCATAAGTTTCTGGCAGGTGGAGACTGGAACGCTAAACACTCGCAATGGGGAGCAAGACTGATAACTCCGAAAGGCAGAAACCTTCTACAAGCAATTAACACACTAAACTCTGACTATCTCACAACTGGAGAGCAAACGTATTGGCCTACTGACCCCAATAAGTTTCCAGATCTGTTGGACTTCTTTATATATAAAGGTACCGCAGCTAACTATATGATCATTGACTCTAACTTTGAGTTATCGTCAGACCATACACCAGTAATAGCGACAGTAAGCACTTACATAATAAACAAACCAACCACACCAACACTAATAAACAACTCCACAAACTGGGACAGTTTCCAAAGCTATATAAACGAGAACATAAACCTAAACGTGAAAATTAAAGGATCAGATGAACTTGACAAGGCAGTCCACGACTTCACAAATCTTGTTCAAAATGCAGCATGGCACTCAACTCGCTCATTAAATGTCGAAACCAATGCCACAGTTATAATATTCCTCGATACACTCGAGAGCTGGTAATTGAGACACGAAGGGCAAGGGGTAAATGCAGAGGACAAGACATATCGAGGACAGAAATATCTATAACAGATTAAAACGTAAGCTGCATAAAATTCTGTTGAATGCAAAGAACAAAACATTACTTCACTAAACAAAGGGGACCACATAATTTGGAAGGCCACAAAAAAGTTCATAAGACCACAAACTTTAATTTCACTGATAGGGAAAACAGATGGAAAATGGTACCGAAGTGGATCAGAAAAAGCCGATACCTTTGCCGAACATTTAGTCCAAGTATTTACTAAGGAAAGTGCCAAGAAAGGTAATTGTGTTACTAACAATAATATATAACAGCATCCTCAGACTATTATACTTTCCCCTAGTATGAAAATTCGCCCAAATTATAGTAATACATAAACAGGGAAAACTAGTTAACGAAGCAAGTTCATATCATCCTTTTAGTCTTTTACCAATTCCATCTAAGTTATTTGAAAAACTATTACTACACATAATTTTAAACGATATAGAACTAAATGCCATAATCCCCCACTATCGATTTGGGTTCAGACAACATCACTCCACAGTTCAACAAACACACAGAATTGTTAACAAAATTATCTCGAGCCTCGAAGAGAAGACATATTGTATAGCAGTATTTCTTGACGTCGCCCAGGCCTTTGAGAAGGTCTGGCACACCGGTTTATTAAACAAAATCAAAAACACCTTTCCAAGTCCTTATTATCTGCTTATGAAATCCTATTTATCTGAAAGATATTTCCAAACAAAGTACAACACGATGGTTTTAAGATGCCATCCTATAAAATCAGGGGTACCACAGGGAAGTGTGCTCGGACCACTGCTTTATCTAGTTTATACTGCAGATTTACTTATCTTAGACAATACAACTATTGCTACCTTCGCAGATGATACTACCGTACTGGCAGTAAACGAAGATCCAGCTGTAGCATCCAACTACCTATAGCAACACCTTGACGTCCTTCAAAACTGGTTCGATACATGGAGAATTAAAATTAACCAGAACAAACTAGCACAAATAACGTTTACAACTAGGCGCACTTTATGTCATCCAGTATTATTTTAAAACTCACAGATACCAATTCAAACAGAAGTTAAATACTTAGGATTACATCTTGATCAAAAACTTACATGGAAAAAACATTAAATAATTATACACTTCTGGAAAAAATATTTTGTTATGCCGCTGCACATACGGCAATTATCGTTATTTAGCGCGCCAAAAATAAAAAAAATTGATATTTTAAAAACATGTTTCATCCACAGAGTATTGTTCTGTATACATTCGTGCTCTTATCTGGCTTTACGCCACCGAGAACCGCGGATAAATAAGAGAGTAATATGGGTAGAAAGAGTGCACTTTAAGTCTTAAGTGTAGTTGACGCATAAATCAGCATGCGAACACTTGTTGGAAAAGTACGTGTTGTTGTTTAAATGTTGTAATCCAAGAAATTTTTCAAGATGGACTGTGAAGCTTCATGTATGTATTTCTTATTCAAGTATTAACAATGTTTTTATTTGTTTCTTGCCTAATAATAACGGCAGCTTTTGGTGGACCTAATTTTATTCATTCTTTTTTGTATACGGCTAATTTCTGCGAGGGCTACAAAAAAAGTTCCACCGAATTCCACTCTCGTTTTTTATGTTATAGTTAGATAAGACCTTTATCTTTAAGAGCTTACAAAAATTTGCGTCCCCAAGTGTCCTCTGTCTGATACAAGTTATTTTGTTTAGAGGTAGTCACAACAACGTTGATCCGCATCTCCCCAAAATCACTAGAAATGAATTTTTTTCTGTTCTACAAAGCGATAAATTCTTTAAACTGTTGACTGCTAAGTACATTGAAAAAGTAGAACGGTACATATTAATTTAATTTAATACATCAGAGATTCCCACGTGCTCGGAAAAACCTTTTAAATGTACTATAAAGATATTCTTGTCGAAACTTAACATAAAGTAGAAGATATGCAAAGGTACAATCCGCAAGATTCACCAAAAAAATATGCTTTATGGATAGATAGATAGATAATAAATCCTAGATTAGACTCCAATATCTCTGCAACACCCACGGCAGAAGAAGTAAGAAATTATCAAAAAGGTGGAAGACCAAATAATTTTTTCGATGAGAAATCTGCAAAGTCGAAGTTAAGAAAAGTAGGACCTCTTGTGTTAAGCATGTCCAAAGAAATACTTTGCAAAGCTGCAGAAATGAGCCTGTTCAAAAGTGGAGAAAGAACTTCGGCGCAAGTTATAAAATTAGCTATAAGCTTGTCTCCGCGCACAGAGATAAAACCAAAGAAATTCATAATTCGTCATATTTTGATTCATGGCTATATACACTCCAGAAGAAGTATTAGCTTCTAAAGTTGTATCACTCACGGAAGACATCGAGATTGGAACCGGACATAGACATAATGAATAGAATGCTACTGTCATCATATCCCCTGATTACAAATACAAAAAAAAGCGAAATAAACCCTTTTTCAGAAGCTGTACTGAGTATGTTACTTTTTTAAGTTATAGTTTAGATGGTGTACAACGTGATATAAATCCAGATAGTGACTGATAATTCCGAATAAAAAATTAATTTCTGTACATTATTATTTGTATTTCAGTTAATCATTAAAATAATGACGTAAAGCGTTCTCAAAATGTATGTGCATTATTTTCACGTATTTTAGTAGTATTATATAAATGATTAAAACTTGACGCCTTAATTAGATAACTAAATAAAATTTTATTTATAAACCACTTTTTATGCATTTTTATGTGAAATGTGACAACCTGGCAGTCTATTCAACAACTTACATTGTTTTTTCAATTAAATCTAAGCAAAAAAATTACTTTGAAAAATACAACTATTTTTGGCGTGCTAATTCACGGAAAAAAAATTGTAGACCAAATTTCTACAATTGTAGATTTTTTCTCTACAATAAATAGTACATATAGGGACAGGGACAATTTGTAGTAAAAATTTCCAAATATTTGTGGAGAATGTATTGTAGAGTTATTATCTACAATATTTAGTAAAAAGATCCAAATCCATCATAAGAATTGTTCTACAAATTGTTATAATTTTTGCTATTCATTGTATGAATTTATATTAAAAATGTATTGCGTTTTATGAAAATAAATACGAAAATTTTACACAATAAATAGTAAAAATTCATACAAATTGTAGTAATTTTTAATAAAATTTGTAGTAGTATTCCATAATTATTATAATTATAACCTAGAAAAAAATGTTCCTTAATAAAATATTCAATTTATTGTTTTAATATAAAAGATACAAATTCTTAATCACATTATGTCATAAATAACAGTAATAATAGCGCCCTCAGTCTCAGTTGGCTTTTCTGCACCTGAAAAATATGAAATAAAAATTAATACCAATTGAATTGTTCATACCCTTAAAACGGGGATATTTATCACCTTTACACTGATTTGGATATTAAATGACTAAGGACCGATTCCACCGTTGTGTTAAACGAAGTTTAAAATGACATTTTTACATTAACAATGTCATTTTAATCTCCGTTTAACACAACGGTGGAATCGGTCCTATGTCAGATAACTAACAAAAATGAGAAAGTAGGTATGTCACAATTAAGACAAAAAACATCATTGAACTTGGCACAAAATTCGATCGTTGGGCACAACATTCGATCGTTGGCCACAACTATTTTTTTTAAATAATCTACTAAGGTTATTTAAATTAGTTATCTAAAGGTAAATTATTCAGAAACAATAATAAATGTACTTACCACCAATAGAATTTATTATTAAAATTTTCTCAAACGCATCGGTGCTTATAATATAATAATGTGTTATAGGTACTCGTATATGTACCATGCTTTGTTATGTGAACATGGCGAACGGCTACTACTGCTGTCTGGCCGTTTATGATCGACGTCAGAAAACGTTGGCCAATAGCAGAATTCTGTTTTGTTCACATGACTTAGAATTTCTACAA